GATCATTGCATGCTATCCATGCTTGCATCGTCCAGGGCGAGACAAACATTGTACCCATGTGTGTCTGCTAGCAATTCTACTGTACTGATGTCCACCACGCTCGCCAAGTTGTTCGTCAGTTACCGATGATCGAGAAGTGAGAAACAAACAATGCAGGTGGTTGCTAAACACAAGAGGCCCCTGCCCTCCCGTTAACACTGTCAGTTATGGCAAAGCATGCCGCCTGTGCATTGCAGATCATTAGGGATCCATTCTGTGTATTTTTCCTGACGCATGATGGTCGGACGGGCTGGCGTTCAAAACAACTTTCAGCACCTGAGCCCCTCTGCTGGCCAAATGCCCATCTCGCCAGATTCTGCTCCTTGGAAGCGAAGAACAAGGCTGGCCAGATGGCCTCCTCACCGATACACGCCTGACGCCACTGACTTCCACTCCTTGAAACGCGCCTGGCTGCAGGCCATGGCGTGCGTAGCTTCTGAGCATACCTATACCGGGAGCTGGCACTCTGAAAATCTGAATGAAAAGGCAAACAGAGCTTGATGAAACAATGCGATGATAAAAACAAACGGGTACGGCATTATTGCCAGCCAACAGTCACCTTCCAACCGCACAGTTGCGTATTGTCCGTGGCCTGGCCACTCTGTTGGGTGACGGCCAACGGAACCAGTTATTCCGATCTTCGCCTTCGCCCTTGAGTGCAGCAAACGGCGACAGCACGCACCACTACGAGGACCTGTGCTCATCGGGATCGGGACAGCTACGCAAGCACTGCGCTTGGCCTCAAGAGTCCCGCACAGCAGTGCATCAGTCTCGCGCTGCTGATGCTCCACCGCACTGTTCGCATCGATCGCAGATTCGGCGTTTGACAAAGCAACTCAGTCGCCCAGCGGGATACCGCAGTCAGCACTGCGCGGCCTGACGTTCGCAAAACAGACGGTATCCGGCAAAACTCCACACCGCATGTACTGACGTCTCACCGCCTGGCGCCTGCTTCTCCCTTCAAGGAGACCTCCCTTCGTGCTGCGCTTGGCTGCTCCGCGTCGGAGAACGTCTTGCCCAGGGACGTCCCCGTGGGCGGCTTTGCCGAGCGCCCCCAGATCGATCCACGTGCCGCACGTGCATTTTCCGGGATCCTTGCCGCTGTCGACCAATGGACGCACCCAGCGAAACAACGGGCCAACTTTCCGGATTTGCTGGCAAGACGCAGATGGGGCACTTTGTTCGCAGATTCCGATGCCCAGCCCAGCGGATGCCGGGCGGCAGCATTGCGGGGCATCGGGTGGGCACTGCCCACTCTAGTTTAGGTCAAATCGTGGGATGGGGTGGGGCGGAAGTCCGCCGGAACTACTATCACAGGGTTGCGGCGTTGCGGTTGCGGAGCGTTGCGTTTGCCGTGGCGTGGCCTGCGGGGCCACAAGTGTAACTGCCTTGCATATCTTGGGCGCTTCAGGCGATCCCTGTCCGTGAATGTTGACACCTGCCGCATCTACGTACCCGCGATGGGGCCTGCCTGCGGGCATGTCTACGTTGGCGCCAAGCCACTGCGCTTCACTTCAGGCGCCCAAGTCGTTGAGCCCCGGCAGTCTGCCACACCGCCCCGCGCGGCACGGACGCCTTCAATGCAACGCACAGACTTCACCGGCCCCTCACCGCGCGAGATTGCGTCCCAGACGCACATGCGCGGTGCAGCACCGGGCGGCGATCGAGGCCTGTAGCGGTCTGCAGCGGCGCCGTGCTGGGCCCTCCGCAGGGTTGGCATATGTGCGCGATCGGCTTACAACCCTTGGCAGCATGCTGTGGCAGGGGCGCCCGTTCGAACAAAGGGAATGCTGAAGCATTTTGCGGATGCCCGCCGAACGCAGCGCAAGGGGATCCGGACGCTACTGCACACCTGCAGCCATCCCTTGCGGACCCTAGGGTCCACAGAGGTCCCCCTGGTGATAGGCTACAGGCCTGTCCTCTTGCCGCCTCGATATAGAAGGCGTAACTTTTTGGTCACTGTTTCTTGCTGTGCGATGACTTTATGTGGAGAAAGTGGGGTTTGGGCGTAGCGACGGGAGGGTGGTGGGCCACCACTGGTGGCGATGGGCCGATCGAGGGCTGAGCAGAACAACCGGCGTGCACTTGAAATTCACGGACAGATTGAGTCTGCCATGGAGCACTCATTGGTGTTGGTGAATACCAATGATATCTGATGTCTGATCATGTCTGAACAGGCAAAAAATTGCTGCAGGGCAATCACTCAGCGCGGATGCTCAGCAGCGTGACATGTGCCCAGCCCACCGGTAAAGCACACCCTGGCACATTAAATTCAACATCGAATTGTGGCACTGCGGCCAGGGCTCCACCGACATCGGTGTACACAATATGCGTGATTTCGAATCAACAACCACAGTGACTGTACCGTGGCTGTTACCAGTCATGCTTAAAACGAGTCTGGTTACGTGGTGTAACCAGCTATTTAAGAAAACTTTATGATGTAAAGAATCTTCACAAACCGCTACCCAAAACCCAGTCACTGTCAACTACGGAGTTAACAGTGGATTGGATCCAGTGTGAATTGAAGCCACACTAATGGACTTTTCTCAAAAGCGCAAGCGCCACAGTATGCGCACTGATGGACGACCAACATATCGCACCCCGAGCAGACGCCCAATACCGTAATTCTGAAGTTGCAGTACCGATACCACACCGCCCGTGGCTGCAGCCACAGTTGAGCAGAGTTCGGGCCCAAATTGTCCAAGATTTGCCCACCCTTCTGTACAGCTACCTGCTAGATGGATGCGTTTGCCTGGATAGGGAGGCTAGACTGCTATTAGAGATACCCCTGTAAATTGCGCCCGAGCATTTAATATGCCGAATTGCGATTTAACTGCCTAATTTCGCCTTGTCAACCAAAATTGCATACCAGAACGTGCGTCCAGGCACCTGAATCTTGTGGTGTGGTGAGCGCATGTGCGCTATACAGCGCAACAACATGACGCAATATGCAACATGCCAGGCACAGGCACACCAATCACAATGCAAGATGGCAAAGCGCCAGCCCTACGATCGCCATGTCGGACGTGGGTCACCGATTGGGACTCTAGTGCGGCCCAGCGTGCACGCTACCAGCCGCTGTTGCAGAGTCGCGCTGCGGGGCTCTGGTTGGCCGCTCTACACACCAAAACATGTGATTCAACCCATTTTCAACAGATCGCTCATTTCAGATAGCACAGTGGATTGTCGCACTGCGAGGGGAAATGTTGCTTTTATTCTTCTTGGCCATGTCTCTTGCAGAATCTGGGCGTCAAATTCATTCCGTTGTTTGTCCCATGCATATTCAAGGGTCAAAAGAGCTAGAATTGGATCATCATTAATTCCGAAATTGCACCATTGGATTTCAGAACAGTTTCTGTTGGCGACGAGTTCTGTCCTGTTGGCTAAAGCATTAATGACTAGCTGGTTGGGGGTTGGGGCCTCCAAGAGATGCCTCGGCACTACGGTTACTGCTGGATATATTTGACGTCATAGTGATCGATTGCCAGCAGGCAAGGGAAATTGTGCCAATGACGAACCTTCCTTGCGTTGTTCGAATTCGTCTTGATCCCGTTTTAAGGTGAACGGGCTCAGCCTCCCCATGTGGGAGAATGAAGTGAGCAAGGAATCGCCGTGAACCAAGGCAGGCGGCTGTTGAGTGGCTTTGGCAAATACCTAGGAGGTGAGATAGTAAAACACCAGAGGCGGTGGCAATCCAGACTCAGATCCTGAATGCTCTGCGCTGCTTTGCACCTGCACAGTGTGCAGCGCTCGCCGCTCTTTTGCTCAGGTGCTGCAAGCCAGGCGCTCCTAATTCCGCTGGGTGCAAACTCAGCCGCGAGCAGAACCACCAGTTTTGCCATTTTTTAGGCCAACAACTGACGGTGATCAGCCAATATAGGAGCAGGTCCCAACCCAACATACGATCAACAATGAACAGGTGTAGGGCGGGGCAGTACACGGCTGGGAAGGCTGGTGGACTACTGCCCCAGTGCTGCAGGCTCGTGTCTACTTCGGGGGCAGGACCCAGGCATATTGATTTTGTGTGTTCCACAACGGGAACCCATTGATTTCAACGAAAACTGTGTGTCCCTGTGTGTCCGCACTCGACGACTGCCCGCCGGGCGGAGTGCGGAGGAAGAAGAGGGGCCGGCTGGGATAGCCTCACCCAGCTGTGCACCATACCGTCACCTGACTGTCTGCCGCTTTTGTTCCTTTCCTTTTAGCATCACCTGAATTCAGTCTCTGCAGCGCACTTCAAGTCTGTCTGCACCTCAGGCGAATCTGTTCGTCAGTAGCAAAAGAAGACGGGCCGCATGACAGGTCCGAGATGACAGGGGGGAAGCCATCCAAGGCTGTCGCCCTGGCGTTTGTGTCATGGACAACGTTTCAAGCTTCGCAACTGTCGCACATTTGAAACGGTACCAGAACACGAAACATCAATGTCATTCGAGTCCAATTTGCCATTGCGAGTCACCAATCCTAGTATAAAAGCAAGAGTGCGCCCGCATTCAAGTACGCACTGTCGATGTGCGGGCTCCGGACTGTGTTTGCATGCATGCCGGCGGCAAGGGCCTCAAGGGCCTCAAGGACGCCTTGGGGCCTCAAACGCCTGAATCTCGCTATGTATAACTTCGCCGTAAAGTCGGATGGCCCACAGCCTCTAAGCACCACAACTGACGCACTCTCGACCCCCGCGCCTGAGCAATGGCTTGTCCTATATTTCTATGCTACGCGCTGCACACACAATGGAAGCCAGGCGTAAGAGAGAAATCCGCCCGCTGCATATTGAAACTGCCCGCCGGCGCTGTGCTGCCATTGGGTCCATGCTTCGGCAAGGTCAGGTATCCCATGTTGGTCCCACAGTGCGCTGCCAGCGCGCAAGGGCGCCAGCAATCGCCTAGCTGCCACCAGGGCATAAATACGCCAATGCAGTCGCGCCCCAGGGCCCATTTCCTCCCTTCCCCACTGCTTGCGCCCAATCAGTCTTGCAGTGCTTGCGACTCCGACTCCACATCCTCGTACTCCTCATTCGATGCTGAGTCCGCGCCGTCGCCCGTCACAGGGACGACGCCGTTCACAACAAAAACGCTCTGGGCGCGATTGGGGCGCTTCTTCTTCTGCGGATTGAACGGCGCGGAAGGGGGGGGCGCAGAGTCGCCCTCCAGCCCGTGCGCCTCGGAAATTCCGCCAGATCGAGGAGCCCGTTCGTTCCCACTCGTCTGCTGGCCGTCCGCCTGCCCGCAGGGCACCAGCCTCTTGTTCTTGTTGGGCGGCTGGGAAACGTCCTGCTTGTCCACTGCCCACGCGGGCGCCCTGTCGCCCAGCAGTTTGTAGTACTGGTAGTCGTACAGGAGCTCCTCCCCCGGGCGCATGTTGCACGCAGCGAAGATGCCGATGCGGTGGTCGCCGTCGACAAGGTGATGCCTGCCCAAAATCAGGACCGCCAAGTGATTGCGGGAAAGTCTTCCAGTCAGGTCCTGATCCAGTTGAGTCAGCGGCGGTATTCTGGTAGGGTGAGTGTGAGTCTGGGGCTGTGCGTGTCGGATGTAAGGCGTGGCTCATGGAGTGTGGTTCGGGAGGGGGGCGGGGGGGCTCATGTGGTCTTGCCGTTTTCGCCTGATGATGCAGGGATGGGGATTTCTGGGACACTGTGCGAGGTCGTTGCAGACTGTAAGGTTCTAAGGCTGTCTTCGCATCGCGCACTTCATTGTGCAGCAGTGGGGATGTACGAATATTGCAGTTGGCGTCATGGGGAAATTTGCAATGTTGGCTCTGTGGCGACAGTGCCAGCACACATCTCATCCCAAACGATGCTGTTGGAGCACATTCGGTACTCGTTACCTCACGCAGCAGTTGGGATTCGCAGAGTGGTTGGCGAATCTCAGTTTGTTGCCCCTTCGCTTCGCATCCAGCACTTGGCAGTCGTTGAGGTCAAAAAGGTAGGAGTGTTGCTCCTTGTCGTAAGCTTTGCCTCTCCGCTCTGCCTCCTGGTCATTGATGAGGTCTCCAGTATATTCGCCCTGGAAAGGTCGAATGCACGCGCCCAACCAACACTCAAACAATCCTTGTCGAAGCGAAACGTCAGTAATGCAATGCAAACAACTGGCGCCATTAAGTCTCTTGCATTCAGCGCACCTTGCAGGTAAAAATATAGGCCATAGCCATGAATCTTCAGGGAGGGGGCGAGGAAGGTTGGGTTGTGGGGCGGAAGGGGCAACTGCTGCCAACGCAAGTATGCATTGTCCCGGATTCGATTTCAGATCCCCAAGCTTCACCTCAAAAACACAATAAGCCCAATCGCCCGACTACACGTGACGTCTTTGACGATTGGGGCCCGCCGCACGCTGCAAAGGTACATTCCAAACGCACTGGCGCATGCCCGCGTTGCTGCCAACCAGCTCGATAACAAGCAATCACCACGCAGCGCAAAAGCTCACCAGAAAGTCCCCTTTGTTGGCAGCCCCCAGCAGAAATGCTCCCCATCCAGCAACTCTGGATATCCCCATAGCTGTTCGAATGTGGTCACCGCAGGAGAAGCACATGTTGGAACAAGAAGTCTCTCGCTTAACTGAGCCGTCTGGCGCTTGGGCAGCACCGACACACTTACACCTGTCAGGATCGCAGTCCCTTCCCACGGATTGGCACGGGCATCTTTTGGTGCCGCAAAGGCCCTTGCATTTGCATCCGGGAAACCGGACTGTGCAGTCGGTGCTGCAAGCGCAGAACTGTGCAACACACAGTCGCCATTAGCGGCAGGCCAGTCTTGAGGTATCCGACACAGATCTGCAAGTCTATTACTAACAAGACAATTACTAACAAGGAAGACACCTCAGACAGGCTGTCAATGCCGTCAGGCAGACCGCCCATGTCTGCGATACGCCCAGGTGGATGCTCCGAAGAAAGGAAGCTCAGACTCAGGTGCGCAGCTTCAACGGCATTTCAGACCGCGGCCGTGACGAATTACAGGCCATTGGATTTTCACCTGAAGCCAAAATGATGCCAAAATCTTGGCAATAAACTTACGCTGGCAATCGGCAATCGGAGAGCATGAGATGGAAAACAGCAGAGAGTCAGGATTGCATGGCGCTTTTTGTGTTGCTGGAGCAACAAAGCGCGAACGTCGTGCATTTGCATGGCAAATGCTCACAGCTCTGCGTGCGCATCCCCGAAACCATGATCCCCAAGTGTAAATTTGATGCACCAAATGGCTGGCTGATAACGGCATCCTTGGGTGCCGAAGCCTTGAACAAAGTCTGAGTAACAGCCACATCTATTTACTGGGCCATCGGGCGCACGCTCCTCTTTAGCCCCATCAGAATCTGTGAGGATATGATACAAACTGGATGCTGTTGTACATGTGGTCTGTCTGTAATCTCCCGTCAAGTTTCTGATGCTCTTCATTTAATGCCCGCAGATCAGCGCCCTCCAACCTGCCTTCTCACACCAGGTGCCTCGCTGGACACAAGGGCAGTTGACGTCACACTGGCCTTCGCAATTGCAGGGCTGGTATCCTGGCCAAGATTTTGAGGGGTTATGGTTGGCTCGTTTGGAGAGCATTAAATTCTTGGCCTTCTTTGGCAGCTGCTTGGGCCCAACCCTTCGAGGCTTGAAGCACTTCCTGCACACCGATGTGTGGCACTTTAGCCCATAGCGGATGCGACAGCTGCAGCATTTCCTCCTCAACTGCAGCAATTGCAGGAGTTAGCCCATGCTTGGCAGGGTGCCCTGACATCTCTCCCACACTGCCATGATTGAGATTTACCACAATCAATGAAGTCAGAACCCGTTTACCTGCTCTGAGCACACCCTTGCCTTTGTCCTCACGGCCAAGAACGACTATAGTGAAAGGCCTCCATAAGCCTCCATGTGTGGCTCTGTGGTCCTATTTGTCAGTCAGGCACTCAAAGACTGTCGGTGGAAGAGCACAGCAATACAATCCCTGAATTCAGGAAGTACCTTCGACGCTTGGGGATGACCGACTTTTTTGGCTTTGGTGATGAGTCCTGCACCACTGCCACCGGGTCTACACAAGGATGTTCGTGCACTTCTTGGCATGTTCGCGTCACAACCAATCGGGCAGTCCGGCAGCTGTCCTGGCCAAACAGCTTGCGACCCTTTCTCAAGAGTCCTTCCTCCAGCGGGGTCCAGTTGACGGATGTTGGTGGCCTGGAAGTTACAAACACATTGACTTCTTGAGCCAGCAACCTATAAGAATCTGCTCCCAGGTTGATGGCAAATCAGAGAACTGTCACTCATGCATGGGTTTCTGCGCGTCAGTGTGCCTTGGTGTAGATATCGCATGCTCCAAAATAAACCAGAATCCTCACACCTCCGCACCTGCAAGCAGTGGCGGCAGTGCTGTTGCTGTTTCGAATTCCCTGAGGCGATTGACTCGGGGACACAGCGCCTTGGCAAGTCTGCTTCCCTTGAAGGTACAACACAAAATCTTGGCATTTCATAACAGTAGGCGTGGTATAGGAGGACTTGCTATCAAACGGTGGACACAATGATCAGCAGCTAATTAGATGCACCGATCGTTTAGAGCGTTGGCTGAACAATGGCTGACATGGAAAGTAGGTTTGCAGCCAATTCGACAATGAGTTCAATGAGTTCTGTCAATCACAGGCCATAAGGCAGGGATTGGTCAATTTGTCTGGTGCCCGGCTTTAAATTCCCCAAAACCTGGCATTGCACTCTCCATCACAGTAGCCTCCACAGTCATGTCGGACTGCGCACCAGATGTTTCTCTTCCTCCAAGCAGTTTCCAGCAATTCGGCCCACAAGTATCCAACGATGGCTGCAGCGGGGGTTGCTTTTCATTGTCACGATCATGAGGACGCACATTGCCACAGTCTGACACAATGACAGCAGAATGTATCAGGTACGCACAAATAGGCCAAAACGCCAAAGATCAGATGTCATGCTGGACGGAATTATTCCGTTGTACCGATTTGAAATTGTTCTCTAAGGTCGAAACCCCCCACTTTGAGAGCAACTGCAACATCAATGTCAAAGCATGCACCCCACGTCTAATGATGCAACGATCCACTAGGTTCATGCCCCAATTACTATGACTCAGACCTAAGGTGCCCCATTTGGCATGCAACTTGCAAAACACTGCTTACGATACATGTTAAGGATGCCACCATTTGAGACTTCTGGACTGCTTTCTGGGCTGCAGTTGCTGACAAATCAACACTTGCCTTGATGACGTCGGCAGCAAAAGATCCTGCATCTTCGACAATAGTGCTTGAAAAACACCTGGAGGTGATCTGACAATCTGCCCAATCACAGAAAATGTCTTCAGACAGTGCGATGATACCACGTATTTGGAACTGCTTGTGCCAATGCACCTTGGAAACCATGAGCAGCAGTGGCAGTCCGTACATATGCCAAAACAGTCATCATCTGCCATCTGAAATGGTGTAGATAATGTGACATGTTTGCATGCAAAAGTTGCAAAAGTAGCAAAAGTCACCATGCCAGTGGTGGAAACTTACTGGCCTGAGTGGCTGCCATGACCTGCACATAAGCAGCCAATTTCTGCTGAGGGGCATTCATTGTCACAGAGCACTGGGTGAATGGACTTGGAGGCAACCCAACACTCACGGTTCAAGGTGGCAGGCAATCAAAGCAAGCTGATGGTGTGGAATCTCAAACTGGGGTCCTTCATGCACTGGAAAGGGTGAACAAAGTACATGTCTCCAGCAAGTCGAAGTCTTGCAAGGCGCATATAAACTCTTGTGATATGAAGGGTGGTGGCTGTTAGGACTTCCATTCACACAGAAACAACCCACAAAAGAAAGGGGAGGGGGGAGCGCGCTTTGACTTCAGGATCTCTCACACCACAGCGAACTTTACATGAAACCATGTCAACTTGAACTTAGTCACCAGAAAATCGGCTGAGAGTATTCTGCACCTTCCTTATCTATGCATGAACAACCTGCACAGATCCAGCAATGAGGTGGACGCAAACTGTTGCCAGACATTCACAATTTCTGGCACAGCTATCTCAGCCACTGCACGTCAGCACTGGTCTTGAATCACAGGTTTGTGAAGCCGGCTCACCCAGTGAGCTGGCGATTCCGCAATCCAGAAGATGCTCGCATGTCCTCAATAACCTCCTGGACCCGTTCCTCTGTTTTTTGGGGGTGCAATCTGACCGCAAGCGACAGAGCATCAACGAGGCATGGCTCATTGGCAAACTGCTCTACCACAGCCCGAATGCAGAAATTTTCACAGGGCTCATTTCTTCCTGAACGCGCAGCTGCACCCTGGACAGTTGAAATGCAATGTAAACAATGAGAACAAACACAAATCAACATTGTGGACAACTCCAGGCTCCATGTGGACACAAACCATATGATTCGCTTGTCCCAATCCCCAGCTGTAAATGTAAACTCTTGACAGGTTCACTTGCAATATGGCATCGCAGTGTCGTGGAAGACGCCATCGTTGAATGGAGCAGTGACAAGGGGATAAGGACAACACGCCTACCTCGGTGACAGATTCCTGGAGGGCAGGCACTGTCTCACCACTTTCATCAGTGTAGAACATCGACATCCCAACGTCCCGAGCCATTTCATTTCTTTTCATGTATGTCCACGATGTATACTTGGGAATCTGCCCACAGCAATGGCAATTGCTTCAAGTTTATGGTGGCTTCCTGCCAGGAATTTTGGAAAAAAGAATAGATATGAGGGCGAAACATGCCAGTGGTGCCTTGCAGAGTGGCTCAAAAGGGTTGTGCAGGTTGCCTATTGCCAACTGGAAGTCACAAGCACTCCTTATGCAAAGACAAGCTTCAGCATCCACCCTTGTGTCTGTTGGCAGCAGTAGACAGTTTCTCAACAGCCCAAGAGAGTGCTGTACCAAAGATCGTTCTGCACTTTTTGCCTTTGAAACTTTTGGCGTTTGAAGCAACATGGGACAAGGTAACGCACAAGAAGGAACTGATACTAACCGTTTTCGCTGTTGGCAGCAGCATCGCCTGGACGCGCTCCTTGGCATGTCCAGCTTTCCTGTGTTTTGCGAATTTTACATCTACCAAAACAGTGCCTGCGCAAGATGGAGCCATACACATGCGCAAACACGAGATTGCAGGAAGGACAGCACGAATCCTCACTCACTACATATTTCCATGATCGTGACAATGCCCTATCTGTCATCTACTTGGCGTTGAATTTCCAGAAAAATAGGCAGTGGCAGCTGCTAGGAGCCAATGCTGACAGTAGTGTCAGAGCAGAGACTGCAGCCGCCTTGCTGCTAGTGACAGTCTACCTGGGTTGATCTTCCTCTCCAATAAAGTCCCCCTGGCAAGGATGTTGGCAAAACAACTGTTTTGCTGCAGGCGATGGCACTGGTGGATATCGATCCCACCGCGCAATGTCACCTCCAGGAGTTTATTCAGGAGTAGCTGGCACGTTTGCATTCAAAATGACGATTGTTGGACATTGTTAATGCTTTTCACAGCGATCACAGCCTTTGATACTATATCTGTTGTGACAGTACCTGGACATGGTAGCCACTACATGTGCACTGATTCGTATGGCATGTGCCTGCAAAGGGCATTCAACATGCACTGCAAACTCTTGGACATTTGTTTACATCTCAACCCAAAACTGCTGCGGCACTGACAAGCTTGTAGATTTCAGCAAAGGGCTCCCAACATTGTTACTAAGACCCCAAAAACACACATTACTGAGATCGATTTGTAGCAGATATCACAAAGAGGGCCAAGGATCTTTGCAAAACAAATGGACTCTGCACAAATTGGTATGTTGCTGATATGCAGTGAGGCAGCAGTGCTTTCACTGATGGTTGCTGTGCAGATGACATAGCAGAAATATTTGCTTCTCTGTTCATAGAAGTAAGCCCCCAAGCATCATGCACAGCAACTTCAGTTCATCAGGTGTTCTGTGCAGTACATGACATTGTTGAAGTACTTAGGCACAAAACACATCCACTAGAAAGCCCTTTGCAAGAACACCATGAAGGCAGCAATGCAAAATACCTTGATCTGCTGATCGCTGGTCCTTCTGCCCAGTCTTCTTAGGTCCGGCAGGGTTGGGTTGGGAGGGCATCGGAGCTATTGGCTGACTTGTTCTGCTGCTGAGTTCCCCCACGAGTTTAACATATCTAGACCTGATGAAAATCTGCAGTGACCAATACGAGAGTCAACTTAAGCTATGCTAAGTTTGAAAATCCATCGCTGCACGAGCGCTGACAAGCCCTTGGGCACACCATGCACAAGCACACATGGTGCTTCCCCCTTGCAAATGGTGGAGAATCTGGCAACAAAGCCATTGAATGCAGGCTCTGTAAGTGTCCATCAAAGGCAAAGTATGGAGGCACTGCTGAACAGCTCCAGATATGAATCTGAGCCAGGGGAACCTCAGTGACACCTTGGTGCACACTTGAAGCTCAATCGGCAGATTGTCCAGCATTCAGGCCTTCAATGCAACAAAGGTGCTCAATTGGGTGTGACCAGGAATTTGGGAGATGAGGGCACAGCAACCTCTGTAGGCCATCATGACTTTTGCCATCCAACAGCATCGATTTCAAATGAGATCCCCTTTAGCATAGCAATCAACCATTCCAAGCACCAGTAGCAGCTATGTCACATTTATGGTACATATCTGGCACAAATAGTTTGGCAGCCACATCTTGCCGTCAGTTCAACCACCACAGCGTTTCCCCACAGATTCGTATCCCAATCTGTCCGATTTCGCAAACAACTTTCCATCAGCAGCTGGTAGCTACACCGCCTATGAACAGAACCATGAGAAGATTTTTGTCTCACCCAAAGCACCGCAATAGTGGAGGTCATTTGCACACCTCAAAGCTGTGCCAACAATGAACCATATATTGAACCTATGCTGCATGCACAAGATATTGAAACATGGGCAGTTTCCAAGACAAGCTGCTGCTGTAACTGTAGTATCCCCAGTACCTTGGCTGCATCGAAAGAACTAATTACATCGTCAACTGATGTTGCTGCTTCTGCACCTTCACGGTGGACACAGAGAGAACACAATTGTGGAGTGTTGCACACAGTGAGGTGTTGCTGTTGATCTGGGAGCCGATGGCAGGCAGAGCAGGCACAATCGCAAGCATGAGGTCCTTTGAAGTTTATAAAACTGTCCAGCAACAATTCGCATACCTTGTTCTGGGTCAGCAAATCTCTCGTCTTGGCTTCCAGAGAGTGCGCATACTGGTCACGCTTTTGGTTGAAGAGCTGGATGATCTGCCCTATCCTCTCATACTGTGGGGTCGACTTTGACCTTGCAGTTGGATTGCGACGATCCCCTTGAGAATCTGACAATGCAACAGGCAGCATTTTGAGTTAAAAAAAGCGATGCTCAGAATAATGCAATCGATGGCCTTAAGGAAGGCAACCTTGTGATGAGGACTCAGCACCTTGCGCAAAACGCAACATGCCCTTCTATTCATGTTCGCCTTTAGTTTCATTTGAAGATAGTGAACTTAAAGGAAACCTGGCTGTGCCCCTCCAAAACATTGCAGCAAGTTGGTCAATAATTATTGCACGGAGCACATAACGCTCAAAAAACTGGAGAACATTGTTATCAAAAGCAACGACGACAGATTCTGAACCAACCCCTGGCGATGCGACGACCCTCCTAACTTCCACACTGCTCTTGGATGAGGCGTCAGGTATTTAGGTGGGTGCAAATACCGCAGCAGAAAAGCTCACAAGATCCCGCTCTGAGTGGGTCTGGTGGGCAGCTTGGGTGGGACTTTGGCCCTGTTGTATCCCAAAGAACAAACCTCCCCTGCGCGTGCTAGCCCGTTGGGACGCGAAGCGTGCGCTAGTTCCAGCCAGGCAGGGCAACTGGGCGTCAAAATTGCTTGCTCGTTCTCAGCATGTCCGTAGAATGCAACGGCCTGCGCGCTTCCTTGCTGCGGTCCCCAAGGACCGCGCCATTCCCACTGGCGTGGATTCCACTGATCGAAAGCGATTTCGACGGCCATGCCTTCAATCCAAGGATGCGTGGCGTCGCCTCCGTCAACAGAGCAGACGGCGCAAAAATCACAACAGCATCTTCCAAAACGTTGCCTGCGGATGGACAGTCCAGAAGGCGTCCAAACGCCAGTCTGTTGCTCTTGACAGCAAACTACATGCTTGCGAATTTCTCCACCAGCAGTGGTCGCGAAGCTTTCGCTTGTGGCCAAAGACGACCGACATTCGACGCCGCAAACAATCACAAGCAACACAAACATCGCCCCACTCCGCCCAGAAACCAAACCGTTGAACGCAACATCGTGGCACCGGACGACGTCTCTCGACCCGCGACGCGGCGAAATCACCCGGCGGACGCCCCAGCGGCTGCGCCCCGCCACCTCCGGCCAGCTACGTGCCTCAGGCCGAGACGATGCGCGACCCCCCCCACGCCCCGCGCTCACCTGGATTTTGTCCCATGGAGGAGGCAACAGGATGCGGGCCAGACGCACGGGCGGCCCCGGGATCCATCGCGGGCTCAACCGCCTGCCCGCGCCCTCCCCACGCCGCCAGGCCGCTCCCGCGCGCGCAGCAAAGCACGCCCCCGGGCGGAGGCGACGGGCACCGCGGCCCTCCCACTGTTTCTGTCTTGGCCAGCAGGGAAAAAGAAAAAAAGGAATAAAGAAAGGAAAAAACCGCGCCAAGAAATGTGGTGGTCGGGCCAGCGAATCCGGTGCAAGGATTCCGCTCTCGCGTGGTGGGTGCACCAAGCAACCACTTCAAAGTCGGAACCCAACGGAACATGGCTGCGGCAGGGGGCCCCTTGTGAACGGTGTTTGCAGGGGGAGTGCACGGCGGGCGTGCTGAGGTGGGTGCAAGTCGCTGAGGGCGGAGACGCGCGTTGGCGCATTCTTTTCGGTGGGATGCTGGCAGCACGACGGGGTGGCAACGGAGTGCAGGGGAGCCGATCCCAAAACCGCTCCCCGGGCCCAAAGCCGGTCGAGCCTAGTGGGTTGCGGTCTTGCGCTGCGAACTGGATACCTGCGACGGTCTTGTCGCTTGCACGCTTTTGTGTTTTCGGTGTTCGCCTGGAGACGTCTTTGCCGATCCGTGGAGTGCGGCGAGTGTTGTCTGGGGGAGGGATTGGCTGCGGGCATCTGCAGCGAATCGCAGATGTGCTGGCGGCCACATTTCATGCGCTACACGGTGCTTATGAAGCTGGATACGCAGCTGAGAGTCAGGTCTCGTCACTGTTTCTGTGATCACCGTCTCGGGGGCAAGTCCACAGTAGCAATGCTGCCGTCGAGCTGTGGCGGGGGGTCAAAACAATCGTCAAAGGCCTCCGCATTGTGGCGTTGTTGCGTTCGGGCATGAACAGCCGATCTGCTCGTTGGGCGGCTTCTCTTGGACCACGACCACTTGGATGGTCCCTCCTGTTGCACAGGGTGCTGTTTTGTGGGGAGCTGTGTGTGTCACTTGGTGATTCGACCAGAGATCAAAGCAGTTTTTGTCGACAGTGCTGCTCACTGGGCCGTAGTGGAGCCACCACGGAGAACTGGGATATGTTGGCTGCCTTCTGGGACTGGCTGTGACATGCGTGCCTTGGTCATCGGTATGCACCCAAGCAACTTCCAACGCGATCTCACAGGATGGGATGCCCATGGAATGCTGATCGATAACTTGAGACCATCCTGCACCAATGATGTTTGTACCTGTCACCCTTGCTACTGTGACTGACTGTTGTTGTGTGGCCCCTGCCAGCGAATCATTCTCCAGCCCGTTGCTGGCAAACCAAGAGTCAAGGATCATGGGCAGCATTGACAAGGAGTCCGATAATTTTGTGGACGCACTCGATGTGCCTCTGTCTGATGCTGTTGGCCCACAAGCTGGTTATACAGACGATGGCATGAGTCCCCGGGACTCTAACTGCTCTTATGACAAGGGTGATGGTACTGAGAAGGGCAAGAATGAGATACAGTACAGCACGCCAGGAGGGTCTCCTTTGCTGGACAGATCACCTGACCTTCCAGTGTCCACAGGGTACTGTACGCCTTGTGGGAGCCCTCCAAACAGCCGTGCTCCACCAGGAGACGCATTTCACAGCTCCAAGGCTCCAGGCCGCTCACTGATTAACATCGGCAAACAAGGTTGTGAAAATCAGAACTCAGGGAGTGTCCCAAACAGCGAAATAGCTCCGGCTGACAGCGGCTCTGGCGTTGTAGCGTCTTTGGCATCCATGGATTTGGGCTCTCTTATGCCCATTCGGTTCGCAAAGGCTGATGTCACTGATGATTCATACCTATCCACTCCTGCCTCATCTACATCCAGTCATTCAGGCTATCCAAGGCAGAGGCGATCTTCCAGCTCTGCCAGGTTCAGTGAGGACTTGAGATTTGAAGAAGCAAGGGCACAAGAAATCCGGGCGAATGCACTTGGAAGGTCACTGTCTGAGATTGCCACTGAGGTACTCAAGGGTGGTGAGGGCAAGGGCCTTTCGCCCCTGGAGGATGAAACCTGGAGAAAACGAGGAAAGCATTTCTTCATATTCAGCAACGCTGGCAAGCCTATTTACAGCAGGTGCGATGGTGCGCACATTCGAAAGGGAGACTGCCTGTGTACTGTCATGCAGTGTGTGCCATCTGCCAACCAGGTATGGTACACTCTTCTGAGCATTTTTGTGCAAGTATTGCTGGAAGCTGACCAGGGCGACTCCAGTAAGGATCCCAGCAGGTCACAGAGTTGCCACTTGCAGGGGCTGCGATAGGGTATAGGTCAATAGTCACTGTCTCAATGCTGTCACCAGCATGAGTTAGCAGTGAAGTGGGAAGGAAATGGACCACGAAATTGTTGCTACATGGAGAGGAATGACTAAGTCAAACAGGTCTTCAGGTCATCTTTGGATTCATAATGCATGTTATGATCCTCTTTGTTGGTGGCAAGAAGCGTTTGTCCTGTGTCCCGTATCCCTGTTCTGCACACGGTTGCCAATCACCCTTGCGACACCACTAACACGTTGTGGAGGGTGGTGCCTTGAAGGGCCTGCCAGCTGTACACTGCCATGGTTGAGGAGTGCAAGGCAGTCATTGTCCTCTTGTTTGCTTCAGGGCCTGAGTGGCAGCCTGTGGGCTGGTACTTGTCATCAGGTATGGCGACGAGGGGAAGTTGGCTGGCCTCATGGCGATCATGCAGGCGATGCTTGCAGTTGTGCAGGGCAGGGGGGACTGCGCCAAGACACTGCAGGCAGGGCGTTGCCAGATCGTGTTCCTACTGAAGGGCCCAATTGTCTTGGTGGGCCTATCAAGAGTTGGAGAAAGTCCCAGCTGGGTCAGCAAGCAACTGGAGCTCATTTTTTTCCAGGTATATTATGGTAAACCAAGGTTAGGTTGAGTGGCTACATAATTTCTTCGTTTCCGTGCTGTTGCCATCAAAGATGGGGTCAAGGGGGTTGGGGGGTTGGGGGGAAGGGAAGGAGCTTTCAAACATTTTAAACACAACTAAATTAGCACATCCAAGCTGAAACCTTGTTCGTTGCTGTGGACAGATTCTGTCTCTTGCTACTGGTGCTCTGCTTCGCGTATTGGAACGGAACCCAGGCTCAGATGTGCGGAATCTTGTGAAGGGCAGCCAAGGAATGCTGGAGTCGTTGATAAAGGGCTTCAGCAGCAATCCATCCTACCTCCTTGAGGCCTTTTGCCCTGTGAGGATGATGGCTGAGCTGAGGTCAACGGCAGCAGACACTCTGGACATGGCTGTGAAGGTGGGACACTGTGCCAAGTTTGCCTGGCCAGAGTGCATTGTGCAGTTTCTGGGATTGAGTTTGCTGAAACATGGCAAAACACTACCCTTGCATGTTGCAGGTGGCGATGGGCATTGGTCACATCCACATACATGTCTCTTTAGAGTTGTGTGCTTGCCTCACAATGGTCGAGCCTGAAGGATCACAGCACAGTGGGCATGGTGGATTTTCTTGGTTGCTCATTGTTTTCATGGCCTGCTCCATTCACATGTCCTTTAGGGTGTCTTGATTGATGGCCTGCAGCATGTCACTGGGGAGCAAACCAGTCTTCATGCATGGATACGTTGGGCTCTGGTAATTTTCTCTCTGTGTGAGATGAGTGCGCAAACAAAAGACAGAGGGGGTTGGGGAAAGCAGTGAGCAGTTGGAACAGCTGCTGCTGTAACTGCACGGACAGGAATGTGGCATTGCGCTCAGCAATGCTGTTGTGTCCGGTGCCCCGCCTTTACAGTATGTGTGCAGATGTGTCTGTGGGTGTCGAATTTTTAGAACAACTGCACTGACATGGCACTGAAGTTCTTTGCTCACTGTGATGGAGGGCAATTGTTAACTGCACAGGAGCCTCCAGTCAAGTGCCGGATAAGGGGTCCATTTGGTGAATGTGTATTTCGGAGGAGAGCTGCTGACTCCTTGTCAGCACACCTTTGCGCTTGTGATCTTGGCGTGGAAATGCTTGTATTCGTACAGCTATGTGTTTGCTCTGACCAATTGTATGTTCTGTACAGCACTGCGGCGCAAAGTGTGGGATTCTGTTGGCCTCAGGCCAGCTTGTGGCCTTAGCCCAAGACAAGAATGCCCCACTCCACGTTCAGGACCTCATCCTTCTTGTGAATTTTGTGGTGTCTAACAGCCAATACAGGTGAGTACAGAAGATAACCCTTCATTCGCATTCGCACAGTTCTGTGTAGCACCCAGCAATGTGAACACCTCACTGCCTTGCAGTGCAGACATAGACGCAAGGCAGAGGCATATTATTGTGTACCAGCCAGAGCTACTGCGAGTACAGAAACAAGCTGAGCAACTTGCTTGCAGGTAGCAGTCCAAGCAAACCCCTTGTCCTATTGCAGCAATCTGGCCTTTCCCCTCAATTTTGCAACACCCTTTAGCAGGGTCGTCCACATCAGCTGGTTGATGCTCTTGCTGCAGTGCCTTCCATCTGGAATGCAATGTTGCTACCAGAAGCTGCAATCTGTCGCAGGTATTATGCCACGGACTATACAAGCCACTTTACCGCTTGGATTGTCTTGTCGTTGGCAAAAGCAGTAATAGCTTGTATCACTCCTGAATTTCTATGCTGTACCTTTGCATTGGATATTGCCTGGATCATCAAAGGTTGTGTCGGCAAAACATCACAAACCTCCGCACTTCAGCCTGTCAGGCAGTTTGATCTACTGTTTATAAACACAGAATGTGGTCCCAGTCGAGTTCATTGCTTCCATTGTACATGCATTGGCTCATTGCACTGCTGCCAAATATGACCATGTATATTTGGTGTGTTAGGGAAAGGGGGGGAGCTGAGTTCAGCACACCCATCTGCATGCCCCACCTCCACATGACAGCATTTCTGCACGCCTACGTGTACTGCATGGACCCAGGTATTGCATATGTGCTGAATCCTGGAGCTGTTTGTGTTTTGACTGTTTCCCTGTTGGGCCATGACCCATGGGGTCTGAGTGCTCTTGTGCTTTGTCAAGCACAAGGGGGCAACAGGGTGACTTATACTCGCTGCCATATTATGTTTTAGCAGCATTGTTTCCCCTTGGATTTGCCAGCCCGCCAATTGGTGCTGAACGTTTTGAGAACGTCAGAGTTTATGGGAACGTGATAGTGTTTTGTTAATCTGTCAGTTTCACAGGAATCAGTGAATGCATCCTGTGCTGCTCATGCAGAGGCTGGTGTTGTCGTCATTCTGCTCATGACTCGGCAGGACACCTTTCATTTGGGTTCTGCTGCACGTGTGGGTATGGAAAAGGTTTTGAGGGATGCAGGTGTACTCCGGGTGCTTAGGGGTATGCCTGGTGGCCGCCCTGGAGGCCAGGTGCAGATAGATGAGCTCCCTTTAGTGGCAGGTGAGGTCCGCATCCTTTGGCAAGCCTCTATTCTGGTTCTGCGGGGTGTTGTCTGTCCATTGCTGCAGCTGATTTGTGCTGCCCAGCGCCTACTGATAGTTGCATCGTCACGCTCCGTGAATGACATTCCCAAAAATGAAGGAAGCATAGGTGCCTCGCTGTGGGTTTCAATGCTTAAGGTCCGCTGCAAGCTATCTTTTATACTGTGCTAGGGCTGCAGCAAAATGAAGTTCGGTTCGCTTTCCCAGGCTTAGCCAGGGAGTATGGGCAGTTGAAAAAATGGAATGAACCACTCTCCACCCTGTGCCATGGTGCACATGCCGATGAGTGACGTGTTGTCTACTGATGCAGCTGTCGCTTTGTCTGCCTGGAGCACATGATGTGCTGTTGTACTGCGCATATTGCTTTATATTGATGGATACACAAGGAGTCTGAAAATTAGCATTTCAGTTTCAAATGGCAGGAACGGAAGCCAACTAGGGTGCCCTCAAGTTTGCCATATCTGTAACCTGTGGTTGGGGTTGTTGGTTTGATGATGTTGAGAGTTTGCTGCACTTGCACGCTGCTGGCAGGTGGGGGACAAGCATCGGTGTCTCCTTTGCTGTACTTCGTTTTCAGGACGAAGTCAAGGACGTGCCCACAGTTTGTGAGTTCCAAGCCAGGCACCCTGCTGCAGGACACCAGCAATTTCAAACACATGTTGCGGTCTCTGTCCTGCGTCCACTCTGCCATGTTTGAAGGTCGAACCTCTCCATCACTTCCTGTGCATCAGGTGCGCTCACAGCATGGAAAGAAAGCACAGGGGGAAACCCACGAGGGAATGGAGGGCTACAGAGATTCTGTTTTGTGGCTCCCATCAGGCAACACGAAATTTCCTTTGTTAACGTCATGGATAGCAGTTGCTTTTGCTTGCCCTTCTGTTCACAATTCCATGCTTGATCTTGGCTTCACTTTAGCTGTGAATGTAGCTGATTCCTGCTGCCCTAATCGACCTGCTGGAGCGTTAAGGCAGCATGCGATGTTCTGGAACATAGGTCGAGCTGCACACTGATGAACCCAGCTCAGGAACCTTGTAGCACAAAGGTCTAGGCGGACTCCAAACCAACGTTGTGCTGAACTACTCCTATCCTGCTCCAAACCTATGTTGTGCTGTTTTTGTTGCTCAGAATCATTGGAGACTGGACGACCATTACGCTATCTATGCGCAAGTCGATCAAGACTGGGATTGCTACCTGGTGTGTGATGCTCTAGCAGACAAAGACGTTGCTGTCAGGATATGCAAAGAGCTTTCCAAGTATCTCTTGGCCGAACAGATGCGTGCAGAGCTGTTTATAAACAGCTGAAAGGCTTGTCAGACAAGTCAGGGGACAGCCTCCCTGATAAGATTCAGTGCTGTCGAGGATTTCCTGTGCCTGTTGGAGAACAGCCAGTTGTTTTTGTTGGTGTCCTCCGGCGTTTGCCGTGTTCGTCAAGGGAATGGCGTGGTGTGCTGTTTGAACGAAGCAGTCGGGGTAAACATGTTGGTCTAGCTGCCCACACAGTGGCTGTTTGATGGTTGTCTGTTCTTCTAATTCTTTGCATTAGTGGTCTGATTTGACTCTACTCAGAAACGTGGCATTCACGGGACTGCAGCCCATCCATCCAAGCTGGAATATATGCTGGTTCAAAGTCCCACCTGCATGTGTTGTGTTGCATGGACGCATGTATATGTCCATTGACAAGTGTCGCTGGACCATGAACCTGCCCTCATATGCCGCTCGCTCATTGGCACCAGCGTTCTAAACGCTGCTGTATACATGCTGGGCCACTCACAGAAGATTTTGTCCCTCTGTCTTGCTTTGGCAACATACAGCGTCCACGCCAAATCTCGTTTCCCAAGTGGCACCACTCCCATATATTGTGAACTCGGAGTAATTGCGACTACCGGGGATATTCATACTGAGCCTGTTGCCCTAACCTCTGTGGGATGGCCTGGCAATGCCACTGCATGGAAGCATTGATCACCAGCGCTCTTAGATGTGCGAATGAAGCCCTACACTAGATGCATGGAGTTCCTCTGATGGCCATGAACACCAGTGATCTGTGGGAAAGAAGAAAGGGAGGGGACAGCCATTCCTAAGCGCAAATAACCTTTTACATACTTCTTTGGGCCAAAGCTGCTTGTTGCACAAAAGGCCAGGGGGTGGAAGAGGTATGGACGATTTTTGGCTGGTGGCAGCTTCAAAGATGTTTGGATTTGTGGGGTGCTTCCCACAGTTTCACGTGTGTAAGGCCATGATTGCTTTGAGATATTGTTCGCGCAGCTGCATAATGACCACCGTTTCACTGGGTGAGTCACTTATGAATCAGCTGGCGAGGGACTCACGTCTGACACGCATGCTGACTGTGTGGGATGGCCCGAGTATGCCACCACCGTTTAGCTAGTCATGAAAGTTGAGAGGAGAATTGCCTCCAGGGGTGCTTGGTGACGACTGAGCGACACCCTACGCTGCAAGAGTATTTCAGTAGAAGCTGCCTCACCAGTATTGACCGCGGCTCTCAATATCTGGTGGGGCTATGTGTCCTGAGTAAGGATACCACCCAGTTTGGGTGTGTGTCCAGCCTCAAAGCCGATTGCGCAAGGCTAAGGGGTTGCTGGCCTGAAAAAGGCTGAAAGGGAACCATGCATAACTGACAGCTTGGGCCCACACCTGATGGCTCTTTCCAGGGTGGACTACCCCTTGCTAAGGCTGCATGTGTTCGCTTATTCATCATTCACCCACGGCTGCAATATTGCTGTGGAGAAAACATACGTGCTGGCTGTGTTGCTGGCCGTTTCATCACATCACTTTGGTCCAGATTCGATCCCATATGCTGATGTCTCTTTCCAGCTATGGGTAGAATCTGATCTAACGGTCACAGGGCTGTGTCCTGGACCGTATTGTTTAGACGTTTGGGCCCCAAGAAACATGCTGGGATGTGTCTTGCCTCGGCATGGGGTTGTGTTGGTGTGTTGCCCAACCTACCCACTCTTTGGGTGCCCCAGACGCTGACCTTATTCTGGTGCTCTGAATATCGCTGAATAAGTGACAAGGGCAGCGAAAATGTGGGAAAGTCACTGAACAAATGACAAAGAAAGGGAAAGACTCTTGAACAAGGAGTTTTGGACCAATGGGAGTGTCCATGATTGGTTTGGGCACACATGGGGTTGTACTCCGTTGGTTGATGGTTCTTTCCAGCCATGGGGTCACCCAAATGTGAGTTTGTGGGGCTGTGCCCCCAGCCGCTCAGTTCACAGGCATGCGCCTTAGGGAACATGCTGGGATGTCACTTTCCCCGGCATGGCACTGAGCTGATATTACTTTCCAACTCGTGCATCCTTTTGGCGCGGACGACCTGATGCGAGTTGTGTTTGCCACTGAGAAAGTGGCTGGAATCTGCCTACCAATGATACAAGTAGTGCAGCCTTGGTTGGTACATACCGCTGGAAAAGTGGTTATGTGTGGTTGCCACTGAGAAAGTGATGCAGCCTGTGAAATTTGACGGGAATGGTGAATGTATACCACTGAAAAAGTGGTTGTCTACGGTTGCCACTGGAAAGCGGGATTGCCCTTAAAAATGGGCAGAATTGTTTGGTGTTTACTGCTGAAAAAGTGGTGCTGCTCCCGAAAAAGGAGCTGTGAGATTGTGCAGAACTACAGGATCAATTTCTGAGTAAGAAACTGAGGTCCATGACCTGTTTGAGGAAACATGCTGGAAAAGCATGTTTGGCATTTGATTACAATGGGTGCATGACTAATTCCCTGAAAAAGGGATGTGCACAAGCATCCAACAGCTCCTGAAAAAGGAGCTGCGAGGGTGTGAGATGATTTGGGAGTTTTTGGAGAAGAAACTGGATTCGCTGAACTGACTTTGAGGTTGGTTCTGGGGCAAACATGCTGAAAAAGCATGTATTGCATTTGCTTCAACATGGTGATTGTTTGGTCCCTGAGAAAGGGACTTGCATGTTGCTCAACAGCTCCTGAAAAAGGAGCTGGTTCACCTTGTCAAAAGGCATATTTAGGCACAGCACTGGAAAAGTGCTGTAGTCTAGGTTGATTGTATTTTATTTTGGGGAATAGTATATACGGTCTTTGGTGCCATTGGCCAGTAGTCCTGGCCATGGCTCTCCGTCCCTCCGCCACCGCGTGGGCGGCGGTGTGGCAGCGACCCTTCGAGGAGTGGGGGCCCGACGAGTGGCTCCTACTCTCGGGGGCCTGTCAGTGCCCCGCCTTGTGCCAGGTGGAGTCTACGATACCCGTCATCCGGGGGGGCCGGCCGTACCAGGAGACTGTGGTACGGCTCCTGACCCCCCTGGGTGGCGTCGGGGGCCGTATGGCGGGCCCGGGTACGGGCGGTCGGACGGCACCGAGGCGGACGCAAGGCGCAGCCCCCCGGGTGCGCGAGGCACTCCCTCCGGCGCCTGAGAGAGGCGCGCAAGCCCGGAGGCGGGAGCGACGGCTGGCGGAGAGGGCTGCGAGGGAGGCGCGGGCAGCGGCGACCGCCGCGCTGCGCCATCCATGCGGCGAGAGCGGCGGAGGTCCGGTGGAGCTGGAGGCCGCCGCGGAGGCTGCGAGGGCGGCCTTGCACGGCTTGGATGCCGCGCTTGCGCGGTTCGATGGCGGGGCGACTCGGCCGCCGGTGGATGAGGCATTCCTCCGCGCCATGGTGCCACCGGAGCGGAACGGGGCGGAGCATTCAGGGGCACCGGCACTGAATGGCGCCGGTTTCGGCGAGGATTGTGCCGCGCCGAGCGGCGCGTTGGAGGCGCGGAGCTTGGCGGGACTTGGCGCGCGGAGCTCGGACGACGGAGACGACTTGATGGTGGACGTTGGCGGTGAAGCGGCGGTTGATGGCGGGCCATGGGGTGAAGGCGAGGAGGCCGGCGAGGTCGAGGAGGCCGCCGCGACCAGTGCAATCGAGGCAGGTTGGTCGGAAGTGGAGGGGCCCTCCGTGAAGGAGGAGCCCGGCGTGTTCTGAGCCAGCGCGACGGTCGGCGGGCGGGCAGCACCGCGGCGGAGGCGGCGGGGGCGAGCGCGGAGTCCTCGGGCGCGGAGGGGCGGAGGCGCCGGGATTGTCACGTGCGGGGGATGATGGAAAACGCAAAGTACTAAATTGATTTTTGGGCGTATTGGACCTGTGGCAAGGGGGAGTTTGGACGACCCCACGTGGGGGCATTGAAGTGGGTTTGATGGGGGTAATGATAGGAGCAATCAAGGTGTTAAAATGGGGAGTCGTGGTGGTGGCGGCGCCGCCCCCTTTTTCCTGTCGCCGTGGGGTGGTGTTGCGAACTGTGCGTGAACGGACGCAATCGTGTGGCCAGTCTGAAGTGTAAGAGCTGCAAATTGTGACTGAGCGCCGGGCAGTGATTGGCCGGCCTGTCGTGGGAGTGTGCAGGACGCGTGGAGCGCCGTACCACGAGCAGGAGGGCGAAAAGCGCACCGCGAGGTGGTGCTGCACGTCCCGAGGGACGTGGGGGTGCGTGTGTGACGGCCCCCTTGTGTGCAAAGTGATTTGTTGTCTTGAGTGAGTGTGTTTGTGCGTCGCCTGGGCGTTGAGAGCTGTGTGCACCACTTTGGCGGTGTTGTTCGTATCTTTTTGTTTGTGGCTGGAATGTTGAGCAGATCTGGGTGGGATCTGTAGACATCTGTTTTGTGATTTTGCAAATCTTGGCCAGTACTTTGTATTTTCGCATTATTTCTGTTGTGAGCGAACGGTTGGTGAGAGAACTGGTCAAGGATACGGCTGAAGATGAACAGTTGCATGTTTTGAACACCCAAGCATCATTGTGAATCGTTGTTTGTGTTCATAGTAGATGAAAGATCATTAGTATTTGAAGCCTTTTGTTATTATTGGTTGTGAAACGCAGCCTAGGTGGGTTGTGTTTGATCCTTGTCCAGTAGTGCTTATATTTTTTTAGTAGTGAAAGCAGTATAAGCAGCGTTGGTTAATCAAATAGCATTTTTTTCCTTCCTGCCAGCTGACTCAGCCATTAAACAAAATGGCTGGGCAGCGCCATTAATATGCAATATAACATTCGCGTTGTGCCACAGCATTGCTGCTGGGTAGCCCCTACTGTCTCTGGAAGACGATGGAAGCACCTTAAGTGGGATCGCCTGGGGTTGTGTCCAACAACACGCTTCCGTCACTGCGGCAGCTGCGGCATGCTTTCCAACAGGTCGCCACCACCATACCTTACCCATAGACCGTGCCTTGGGCAGTCCCCAGTCGTTGAACAATAGACTGCTTCTACTTTAGATATGTCGCTCTCCCAGGTTGAAGCGAGGCACGCCTTTTGCTGCTGCAGCGGATCGTGGGATCCTGGCAGTTTCAAAGTTGTGCCTCCGTCTTGGTGGCAGGGTGAGATACGACAAAACCAATCCAACAACAGCACGCGGGCGACCAAACCCACAGCGGACTAGTATTGCCTTTGCAAATTATTCACCACGCACTTTCCATTCGTGAAAATCAACCAGCGAGCAATTGCGACCCGCCTGCTTGCCGCTGTAGCGACTCCGCTATCCGCACTTCTTTCTGTGCGTTCGAGAACGGAATAGGAAGCTGACGGCCACCTCATTGCCTTGTTTTGTGAAAAATGATGATGCATTCGATAATGCTTCGAACTTGTTAATGACTTGGGACAATTGGGCATTGCTGCGCCCGCGATGCCCCTCGTTCACACCCTCGTGCCCCACTCCCCCTCCCAGCTCGGCTCAAAGAGCCTCCGCGCCGGCCCGACCCTTCCGCACGGCCTCCACAGTCCCCCGATAGGCCCCAAGGCAGCGGGCGTGCCGTGTGGCCGGTGGCCGCGGCGCACGCGGGCACTTAGGCTGCCCGGGGCTGCCGCGAAATGGCCGCGGAAACAGACCCCGCTCGAGACTCCGTGCTCGACGACTCCGGCGCCGGCGAACCGCCGTCGCCAGATGCAAACGGCGCGGCAACGAGCAGCCCATGTTCCTTTCCTGCCAATGGCGTTGGGGACGGGTCCGTGGGGCGGACCTTTATGTACATGTACAACAAAGTGGGTGGTGTGCAGGGGACATACAGGCGCCGCGCGGTATCTTGCCTGCCCTTAGCGGGACCGTTCATTTTAGCGCCAGTCGCTCCTCAAGCCCACCTGCTGCGTCTGCACGGGGGCACGATGTGCCAAAATGGGAGGGCCTCCTGAGATTGTGCGGTTGGTGGGACACAGGCAGGGGAGGATGGGGATGCGACCACGTCCAGGGAGGGGCCTCACTGCATTGATGTTAGCAGCTACGTCACCTGCAAGTGGCGGGATGGGCTCACGCGAAGGGCGAGGGTCATCGAGCGGAGGAGGGTGTCCTGGGGGAGCTCAGGCCCCGAGGCCTACGAGTACTACGTCCACTACCTGGATTGTATGTGAAAGCCCAGCAGGATAAATTGGCGTCCTGAACTGTTGCACCACACAGCGGGAATGGAAGCTGAGCATGGGGACTGCCTGTCCAGGGGAGGTGGTTTGCAGAGTTGCACGGCCATGGTGGTCTGGCCAGATCGTTGGGAAGCGCTGTTGCGGCCTTTAGCTAACAGCATTTACTGCTTCGCAAAAATGCTAGTCTTGTCCCTGTGAGGAGTCGTGCTGCAGGTTTCTGTGTTGAGAACAAGAACACCGAGCATCAAGCGGCTGGCATGGTGCCCAGCGTACTATATGTGTTTCCTGGTGCTATCTAATGACATCTTTTGCTCGCCTCCAGTCAATAGAAGGATGGACGAATGGATCTCATTTGACCAAATGGACTTAACATCGGGAGAAGCAGACTCAGGGGGAGGGGACTCTGAGGGTGGAAGGTATGCACAAGTATCCTATTATCTGGATTCCAAGAACACATGCTTGCTGAGGCCATAGTCATGTGCTGTTATAGCACATGTGACTTCAGACAGGACCTGGATAGTATTGCATGGTTTGTCAGTCCGCCCCCCTGTCAAGCAAAGTTCAATGAGTGGGGGAGTAGAACATGTGGCTAGAATACTCTAGACAATGGGCAGGGGACAAGAGTACCGTGGAGATACCCAATGTGTTTTCTAGGTGACTGCTGCTCCTTGGACTTTGTTGTTCAGAGCTTGCAGTCTCTGCTCTGTGCCAGGACATGGTTTTGTAGCAATGTGGCCCTTGTTGACACGTTTCGTGCTGGCAGGCAGCAAGATGGAGATTTCCATAACTCATGCCTGACGAATAGCTATCATCAATCGCACCCTTTTTGATTGCCAGTTGTTACACATTGGTTGTGCAGTGCTTGTGTCCATTGGTGGGTGCAGGACGAGGGGCCAGAAGCGTAAATTTGAAGAGCCAGAACCGGGAACAGAAGCTGACGACCATGGCTCATTTGATCCTACAGCGCTCAAGGAGCATGAAGAGTTCACAAAAGTGAAAAACGTGGAACGCATAGAGCTTGGAGAGTTCGAGATGGACACCTGGTATTTCTCACCTCTTCCTGAAGAATATCGCGAGTGTCAGGTGAGCACAAATCTACTGGTTGCACTTGGCTTGCCTTCAACAAACTGTGCTTTTGTTGCCCTGAAGGCGAACTGATGCTGCCTTCATTGGTCTGGGGGCCAAATGCAGTTCAATGCAATTGCCAAATGTGCGCACCCTGCAGGCGTTGATAACCATGCAGACATCTTAAGATTATACTAGCTGCCCATATATGCTTGCCAGGCGTTGGCTTGGGCCTTTTTTGGTTGGGTTGGGGTTGCAGGGAAGGCTAAACACCTTTAGGCGATTGGAGCCAACACACACGGGCTGCAGACCCATGTGTGGACATTGGGTTGGCTTGCATCTCTTTTATTCAACAGTGCAAGAGGTCACACCTGAAAACATGGGGACAAACCGCGCAAGGTAGTGGCCTGGACTCATATCAACACATTGAAGCCAGTGGTGTGATGGACCTGGATGATTTGTGTGGTTGCTGAAGTGCGCGCTCTGCTGCGCAACACAGCTGTTGAGTGGCGTTGCTGCCTGCTCATCATTCAGTTCACCCAATGCTGTGGGTTGAGAGCATACACTTGCGCCTATGCAGTGTTCACAATGTGTTGATGCACTCTATATTGTGTCTTAAGCTTTCCCACATCACCTGATGTTCCATTGAGCATTTTCAATCCAAATGTCTTATTGCAGCCACTTGTTCATATCTGTTGGACTTGCTGCGAGTCATTGCAGATACAGTTGAGGAATGAACATGTGCAGGGATGGTCTGCTGCCTGGCATTCTATATTATGCATTGCTTCTGGGTTTCTTGTTGTCATCAATGACAAATGCGTGGGTGCACTTCCTCAGGTTCTCTTCTATTGCGAGTTTTCATTGAATTTCTTCAAACGTCGAAATTCCATGCTCAGGCACCTGAGAAAGGTGAAGACACGGCATCCTCCAGGGGATGAGATCTACCGAAAAGGCAACATCAGTGTCTTTGAGGTGCGATATAAGTGATCACTAACTTTTCCAACTAAGCTTTTAAATATTGCCCCTGTAATACCTCAGGCAGGGAGCAGTGAATCAATGGTGGCATCGAGGGCTAAGCAACCAGCCAGCAGAGGATCACCCTTGGCAATGCCGACAGTGACACTTGACTGCTAAACGCTGTTACCCAGATATTCATGGCAGATAGAGACAAGAATCTTGAAACTCAAGGAGATGATGACGCAAATGTGCCTCGACTTGTTGTGCAATGCGCAAATTGCTGAATTGTTAAAACCGGATGCTTTAATCTATGGAAGGCACAGCAGCAGTTGTGTGTTGAAACGCACATGGCTTCACAGAGATATGATACTGTAGACAAGGACAAAAGGTGGTATGTACGGCTCAATAGCAAGAGCAATTTTTGTGCCATTCTATCTGAGGGTGAGGAGCGAACCGGCTCTGAACAGGCAGAGTGGCACCACTTTACTAGATGCCTTATTAATCCAAGTCCATATGCTGTACCTGGGCTTTGCAACAACCTCGTTTGACCTCCATTGTTCACTCTTGATGACCTGCAGCTTTGAGGGCATCCAATAGCACATCAACATGGCCACTGGTTGAGCTTCAGAGGTCAATGTGCACACTTGCCAGCAACTAAAAGGGACCTCTGTGGCTCTCATGAGTACATAAGTGACTCGATCCACATAAGATTAGTACAAATACTTTGCTCATGCCGTTTATAATTGGTGCAAATCAACATGTTGTATGCCTGTTGCTTGGCTATTCACAGTTTGCTCTGATGGATGGTGTGTGTGCTTGTGCGGTTGCCCCTGCAGATTGATGGCAGAAAGGAGCAGATGTATTGCCAGAACCTGTGCTATTTGTCCAAGATGTTCCTGGATCACAAGACTCTGTACTACGATGTGGACCTCTTCCTGTTTTATGTTATGTGCGAGGTTGATGAGCGTGGGGCCCACATTGTGGGATACTTTTCGAAGGAGAAGCATTCTGAGGAGGGCTACAACTTGGCGTGCATCCTGGTGTTGCCACCCTACCAAAGGAAAGGATATGGCAAATTTCTCATCTCTATGTCATATGAATTGTCGAAGATTGAGGGCAAGGTGATGGACATGGAATGGGACATAATGTTGTCAGCACAGCTCATGCCACCCTGACCAATGTTTTTATCCAGTCGCCCTGGCATTCTCGTTGACATTCCTGGTGCCACTTAAGTATTGTATATGCTGTGCATAGCGTGTTCCTGTTTTGTACATGGCAAGTGTTCAAGCCTGGAAGGGAATACTGCTTGCCTATGGTCGCAAAGCCCCACATTTTGGTCATGATGGCTGTCTGCCCTAAAGTCCTTGGCACACGTGTGTGGCCTTGGGGTGTGCATTCTTGGGCCCCAGATCCCAGCCTTGCGATCATAGTTACGTACATGACAACCGCAGGAGCTGAGTATGTGGCATGTGACTTGCAGGTGGGAACACCTGAGCGACCCCTGTCTGATTTGGGCCTCGTTGCATACCGAACCTACTGGACACGGGTGCTGCTCAATGTGATCAGGGAACTAGACAGCTCAATATCCATCAAGGAGTTGAGTGACATCACGGCTATCAAGACCGACGACATCATCAGCACACTCCAGTGGCTGAACATGATTCAGTACAAGAAGGGACAGCACGTCATATGTGCCGCCCCCGACCTTGTTGCTCGGCATCTGGCAGAAGCAGGCTCCGCTGGCCTGGAGGTCTCTCCGTCGCTCATAGTTTGGACGCCTTACATGGCTCACAACGACTTGATGAACTACAGGTTGTGATGACGACTGCCACAGTTGCCATGTAGCAGGCCGTCAAGGCTGGCGCGGCCGTCGGAATGTGCGACGCACGCCAGTTTTGCAGCTACTGATGTGAAAATAGCAAACAGGTTTGGATTGTGGCAGGAGGCTGTGCTGTTGAGGCTTTGCAAGCCGCCAGCAGTGCTCAATTGTTCAGAGCAACTATTGTCTGTTGAGATGGGCTGCGCTGCATCTTGAATGCCAAGATGGTAATTGACTGAGAGAGGGGCTTTTCTGTGTGTTGCAACTGTAGTTGTTGGGGTGACCTGTGGCGTTCTGATTTGCTGAATGGATGGTCCATGGTCGTTTGTGCAGTTCAATTGCATTGTGGCGTTTTGCTGCAATTTGGTACTTTGCCCTGTGGGTGCACCACTTTGCAGCGACAGGGTGGTATGCCAACACGGCGGTTCGATGGCAGGGACGAATGAAGCGCACCAGACCGCAAACGTGGGCAGCAAAATCATCAATAGGTGCTGGACGCCGCGCCATCTGAGAAGCACCTGCGCCTGGAAACGCACCCTAATACTATAACACCAATGAGGGGTGTAAGGGAAGCCGACTTGACTTTATATTCTCCGCATTCTGTCAGGAAGAACACAAGTGCTGCACCGCATTATGGCCTCTTCGCTGTCCTGAACACAACCATCAGCTGCATGGGTCCACTGGGGCGGAAATGGCGCTGATCCGTATACCAGCGCATCTTCACTCGTTGATGGAGTCCAGGGCTGTCGCCGTAATGTGCAGAACTGTTGCAGATGTTAAGTGTACGTCAGTGCGAAACTCTTTGGGACGCCTTTCACTGACACCAGGCATCAGACAGACATCAGCTGGTTGTCACCTGCACTCACACTTTTGGGAACGGCCACGGGGCTGCATCCAGCTGCTCGCATTGGGGTTTGGTGCTTGCTACACGGCAGTGCCAACCCCGTACAGAGAAGGATTCCCTTCGTCCCTGCCTAACGGCAAATGCCAAAGAACAGAAGAGGAAGTGTCCTATCTCCCCACCCCCACCCACCCCCAGCTCGGGCTGCCATGGAAACGAAAGCGTCCATCAGCAAGGTCCAACTAAAGTGCCAAAGGCCGCTACTATTTCAGCTTCGTTTGGCCAGACGATTGAGCCCCAGAGGCCCTGCTCTCGCCAACGAGATCTTCGAAATTTCGCGCTTCCAACGCCTCCATGTCGCGTTTGTACTTGGACTCGGGCATGTTCAAACCCTCCCTGACGGCGGTGGCCTGCCCACGGAGACATATGCACGCCCGATCGTATGCCGAGGCGGCTGCATTTGGATCAGCAAAATGGCCAAGATAATGCTCCTTGTCTACGTCCCAGATTCGCGCCCTCCAGTATCCTTTGTTGCGGTAGACGCCCTTGAATTGTTTGCTCGATGGCTCGGGCTCAGCCTTCTTGGCCATTGATACGGCTGGAGTGCCGAGGCACTCAGGACTACAGCAAGGTATACGTCTTCTCCTCAAGAGCAGACGTCAATCCAACCACCAGCCATGCAAACGGGGCGGTCGTCGTGCGCACTGTTCAGCTGCGACAGGTGCCCCGCGGCGCACCCTGCATCGCCCTGTGGTCGTTGATCTCACTCAGTGCATTGCTTCCAGATCTGCGACATGCAGGATGCAAGGGTATGCCGCACTAGGGACAAGAGTGCCCTCATCCGGCCCGTCAATGGCCAACAAGTGTTTTTCAACCCGTTTACAGTTTAGAGTAAAGGAATGCCAATTGGCCACATCGAGGGTAAGGGAAAAGGGGATTTGTCTCTGGTGCCCAAGACTTTGAGTGAGCTCTGTCGTAACGCCTGCCCTACGAGGGCAGCTTCCGCCCAGCCCCTGTCACGCCGTGTCGGATCGCCCGCTGGCGCTGTGCCCCGCACGTTTCGCAGCTTCCCAGTTCGCCCTTTCTGAGTAGCGCCACCCGAAAATTTTGCAACGCCGCTCCTTGGCGCCCCGCGCGAGGCGGTGGGCCTCCGGGTGCACGTTCCTGAACAGCAGGCTCGGCAAACGTCGACCCGCTGCAACGGGTTGGCCGCGCCTCACGGGCGCGAGGGGCCCCGCCCCAAGGCGACCACCGCAAATTGCGCGTGCCCTTCCGCCGATTCTGTCGAGGCACGCATTCGTATTCTGAGTTATTCCTCCACGAGGCACTGAGCGCCGCTCACCAACTGCGCTCCACTGGGCAAGATCGCCGTTGCCGGAAGGCGGTGGGCAATGTCGGCTCGAAATAAGCTCGAAACAGTCCGGGGAGCCGGTTGCAATCACGGTCTTGTTACCGAAGTGCCGCCTGTGCGGCGTACGAGCTCTGAAGGAACCCCACAGCCAGATCCCCCAAGTACAGGAGCCGGAGGGTGACGTGTTACACGTCACGTGTTGCCAAGTACTGGGTCTGCGTCCAGTCGGGGGGAGTCAACTCCGCATTGATGTGCGGCCAATGGCTTTCCCTTAACCCTCTGTTGCCCCTGCCGGAACTGCAGTCAGTGTCTTTGCTGCAACTGCAGATTCTCTGGCAGTTTGGTTGGTGTTTATGGTGTACTGGATGGTGAAGATACCACGCTTGCGACATCGATTTCAGGAAGGAACGCGGCTCTGATAGGATAGAGATGCCAATGTCCAGCGTATCCAAATACGCTAGGGAAACTGATGTGAATGTGAAATCGCTGGTACTGCTTGTTCGAGCTGAATGTTGTTCCTTCATGTGCAGCGCATATGTGTGTGGTCACGCCACCCTCTTCCCATGATACACATGTGAAGGAAAATGGCATTGGCTGTAAATATGACGTGGTGGGTAGCTGGCTGAAGACAATGGGGAATTGGAGCGCTGTGCTCGCTGAGGTAGGTGATATGAGAAAGGATGGCAATTAGGGAAAGAGCTCACGAAAACTTGCATCGAATTTCTTCATGAATTTGCATGTAGGCTTCCTTTTTGTGGTGCAGACACGCTGTACTTACGCATGTGTTGGTGTGAATATAGTGTTTGGGTTGTTACTCGCAATGGAGTTTGCGTTTTTACAAGTAAAAATGCGTCAATATGGACCCATGTACATACACACTCAGGGAGTCCGGGGAGTGCATCCAGACGTGCTGGGGTGGCCAGAGCACTATTGTTTGTTCGATGACATCGTGGCCCGCACGGATGGCGAGGTGGATGCTGTGTGTGTGGGTGCTCGAAGGGGCCATGGACTGATCATTCTTTGCGACTTTATCATATAACGTTGGTGTGTCGATGCGCAGCAAGATAATGCATAAAAATGGCGGCAAAATGGCGTTTCCCTGTTCACGAGTTTTTGCCCATAAAAACACATACCTGAAAATGGTGACATATATGCGACAACAAACCTGCGTGTGTGCATGGCAATCTTGCAACGGTGACTATCATTGTTATGTTGACTGAACCCTCTCGCGCTTGCACATAGTAGCTCCCAAGCATGGGAAGCGAGGCCGCAACCAAATGCATTACAAGATGAGTGTATCGGCCTAAATAATAGTTGCTGCAATAATGTTCACTTCCCCATCGTTGTTGTCCCCATGTATATTCACCATAACACCATGTTAACCACATTCACTTCCCACCATAAAATGCCATATATCACATATCATATTTTGACTATTCCCTCGCCCTCACACGCTTCCCTACGCCAATTTGTGTGTTTGGTGCAGCCAAACATACATACACACCCTAGAAGCCCATCTCTTTCAAATTGCCTCCCAACACGGCTGCAACATGGCAGTGTGCCTAACCCACACTTTCTCCTTTGGTCCCCGCACTTCCTACATTGTATTTTTTATGGGTTGAATCAACTTCCCTAGACCCTTCCACCATGCCCCGAGCTTGTCCTTGAGCGTTTCAACTTTTGTGTTCCATAGCTGCACCCAGTCTCCTGATCTAAACGTCTAGTGGATGCACCATCCCCTTGTCATGTGGTTCACCTTCCCATCTTGTTGATGCGCATACTCATATAGTTGTCCCCACACATCTCACAAGCTATTCCACAACTGGCTTGGTGACCCAAACGTAAAAGTGCTAGGAGTCTTCTTGCTCACTTCTGGTAAAGAGAGGCGCGTTGTTGTAGATCTCCATAGCCCACTCAACCGTTTTGGCAAAATTCTTGGGCTCCTCTGCCCACATATGCCTCAAACGGTTTAAGAATGTCTAACTAAACCATTGCGCAAACCCAATGGATGCGTGATGGTAAGGAGGGGAGTATTCCTGTGCCGCTCCCTTTTGCATACACTACTTTTGCAATTCTTTAGAATACGTGACCTTGCAAATGTCAGAACACAAGATTGAAGGTATCCCTTGCATTTTTGTCCACTTCCTCAACACTCACATGATGTCTACCCCTCTTGCACCTGTTACTAACCATGGCCCTACCCATCTAGTCAACATATCCATAATGACAAGAACAAATTGCTTCTTTCCCACTTTCCTATTAGGAAATGGTCCCGTGACATTCAGGCCAATGACTTGGCCAGGTCTCTCCACCACACGCCAAGTGCCAAATGAGTTGGATATTTGTGGTTAGTGGAACAATTAACACACTCTGTAAGGCTGCACTTTATCCATCCCCCAGTGCCATGATGGACGCAGGCCCATATGGTGAAAACGAAGATACATCTTCCTTACTCCAAAATGCCATGTATGGCCTTGCTTCCATTATCCTTGGGTGATCACCAACAAGCAATATCATTCAACTGCATGAAGACAAGATGGCCTTAAAATCCAAGCCGCTTATTTAGACAAAATTCTACCAAGTAAATAAATGGTCTAAGACAAATTGAAATTTGCAAAGAATACCAGGAAAGTTGATCGAGACATCTCTTGAGAAAATCGCTCAAGTGTGCCGGGTTGTTGAGGTCCACAATAACCTAGTTATCCACAATAGCCCAGACCAGTCACCGGTCACTAGTGCACCAAAAGTCTATGGTCAAAAAGTCTGAAGCGCTTTGCAAAGGGCCTCCAACTCCAAGACATTGCTCAT